CCAATGCCTTCCAAGGCACAAAGTCCATCTCCAGTGTCCCTGACATGGTCATTTGGCTCCAACTTCCAGGGATAGGAATACCAGTGCCACACATGGCAACCCATTTCAGAGTTTTCCCTTATAGAGGGTGGGGCGTCCCTTAAGGCGCTGTGACTCTCTGATTCTGGTTTGACCCTTTGGGCCTGCAGTGTTGAGCCAGAGAAGCCAGAAATCATGTCCCCCCTGTCTTCTCTTTATTCCTCATTGACTCATGTTCCAGATTTTTGATATCCTGGCCACCCACCTCTGGATGAGCTCCTTATCCAGAATTTGATGCTTCTGGACACTTTATTTATTAACTCAGCAGAAGATTTTGGTACATATTGCTTGGGGGTTAAGAGCTCAAGTTCTGGGGTCTGGTCCGTGGCTCACTCGGTAGAGTGTGGTGCTGATAACACCAAGGCCACGGGTTTGGATCCTATATAGGGATGGCCGGTTCGCTCACTGGCTGAGCGTGGTGCTGACAACACCAAGTCAAGGGTTAAGATCCCCTTACCGGTCATCTTTTTAAAAGAAAAGAAAAAGAGCTCAAGTTCTGGAATAATGCAATCAGTTTCAAGTCCTGGTTCTCCTACTCAGTGGCTGTGTAACCTCGGGTAAGCTACTTAACCTCTCTGAACTTCAGTTTCTACCTCTGTAAAATGAAAATAAAAATAATAGCTGCTTCACAGAGGATTAAATGAGATAGTGCATGTAAATGACCTCTCATGGTGCCTGGCTCGAAATTTTGGCAGCCACATTGGACTGATAGGTGACATATTGAGCCTGTACTTAGCGAAAAGCCAAGGGTCTTTTCCATAATAACTGCTAACGTCTGTCCTTATTAAACTTCATCTTGTCAGTTTCAGTTCACTGTCTCTTCCCGTCAGCATCGACTCTGTCACCATACATTAGCTACCCATCCGGCTTGGTCATCTGCAAATCTGATAACATGCCTCTCATATTTTCATCTGAGCTCTCTCTCCAGTCTGATGCCAACATGTTACTCAAGATTTTTTAGGTTCAGCTATTCTACTGTGTTATCATCTAGCCCGCAGTGGTTCCAAGGAAAGAGTTAATTTATATTCAATAACTTCTGTTTAAAAGGTCAAGGAAATCATAAAACCTTTTAGAGAGATCGCAGTCAATAAGTGGTCAACATAGTTTGGACACTTGACAGTATAAAATTTCATTTATCTAGAACATTCCCTCAAGGGGAATTGTGTAAATCCTCCACAATGCCAGAAAATGAGGTGCTATTACAGAGTCTTCTGTATTTTTCCATGTGGTTTATACTTTCTCTGTACTGGAACAGAAACTTCTTAAGAACAGGAGCCATTTCTATGATTTTGTATCAATTCTTAGCACCTGAGTTCAGCCATGAGAAGGCAGTCTAAGCTTTGCACACAGTTCTTAGTACCTACTGGCTGACAAGTTATTACCATAAAAATTAACCACTTAGATGTAATGGTTAATTTAATGCACAAACTTGAGTGCGGCACGGGGTGCTCAGCTTAAACATTGTTTCTGGGTGTGTCCGTGAGGGTGTTTCTGGATGAGAATTGCATTTGAATCAGTGGACTCAGTAAAGTAGGTTGCCCTTCCCAGTGTGGATGGCATCATCATCTGTTGAGGGCCTGAATGGGACAAAAGGCAGAAGCAGCAGGAATTCGCCCCTGTTCTCTAGCCTCACTTCCTGTGCCTGCACATCTCATCTCATCTTCTCCTGTCCTTGGGCTGGGATTTACACCAGCGGCTCCCTGGTTCTCAGGCCTTTGGACTCGAACTGAATTATACCACCAGCTCTCTTGAATTTCCAGCTTGCAGACCAGATGGCAGATGATGGGATGTTTCATGAGAGCTAATTCCTCATAAATCTTTTTCTCTATCTCTGTCTCGGTCTAGATCTTTCTCTCCATACATATCCTATTCTCCCATTGGCTCTGTTTCTCTGGAGAACCCTGACTGATACAGCACACATCCAGTTTCAGAGAGTGGGAAACCTGGAAGGGTCAGATATGAGATCCAAGAGGGCACAAATTATGTTTTATTCATTTTTGTCACCCTCGGTACCTGCACCATCCCATATTGCACATGGTAGGTATAGAACTCAGAACGTATTTTTCTGAGTGTTGAGTGAATGAGACAAAAGCCACAGTTCCAGAGTCATGCTGATCCTATTCGCATGTCTTTCCTCATGTGGCAATGACATTGTTGCACACAGTCAAGAACCACCGCCATTAAGAACCAGGAATGGAGGGGTAACATGAGGGCAGGGCCCACTGTGGACAAGCCACGAGACATCATAAGTCCTAGAGGCTGTGGATCTTGGTGCGGAGAGCGCGCATCTACACCAGTTTATATCCTGTGTATTTTATGTACCATTTAAAAGATAAAGACATCAAGCAGGCTCAAAGGGAAGGGGTCAACACTTCAGCTGAGGTCTTTGGAATGGCTTCACCAAAGAGGGCCCTTGAATATGATTTTAAGTTGAAAGAATTGGAGAGGACTTGCCAAGGTGGAAGAATGGCCTGAGTCACAGCGAGGGGATGGGCAGGCAGAATGTGGGTTTGGGAATGGCAAGTGGCCGATCTGGGGGTCCTGGAGAGCACCAGCCTGGTTTTTCTCTGTGAGCCAGGGCACGTGCTGGTGCGGTGGGCACAGCTGGTGATTATGGAATAGGTATTTTCTCTGCAAAGTTAACTGGCTCACAAAGGGCTATAACTCATGTCCTCTACCTTCTTGGCATTTCCCTCTAATCTGAGCTGAGAAGGTCAGCTAAGCAGACTCTATTTGGACTAAGCTGCTCCCTGTAGCCTAATGCTAAATAACATCGCCAGCCAAAGCCACTTCATCAGACAAATAGATTAGGATTTTTCACCTCAAATGATAAAACATGCCCTCCGATTCCACCAGCCCCCAGCAATACAATGTCTAATCTCTCACTGGAGTCTTCCTTTTGTCGTCAGAAGGTCATATTACCCTCACAAACTACCATGGCCACAGACTCTCCTTATAGGTTCAGCCTTCCTGGCTGTGCAAAAGGGCGGCCCTTGGAGGACTGTTGCCTAGCAACATCTCTACTGACAGGACTGCACAGAGGGTTCCTGCTGTAGGCAGCCCTGGGAGAAAGAAACATCATCTTCTGTAAGGCTAGGGTTGCTGTCGGCCTTTGGACTGCCTGTAGTGGAGTACGGAGATTAAGTCTCTTAATTAACAGTTATCTCACGTTAAAATGTTATGTAGGATTCTGTTCTTTCTAAACTTCACTTTTTGCTCTACCCTCTACTTTCACCCCCTGTTCCCATTGGTTTTGTTTTCACACTTTTAAAGAGAAATCTGCAGAACAAGTGTGTACATCTCGCTTAAAAAAAGTCATGTTTCAGGTTGATTTTTCTTTTCAGCATGCACAAAAACTCACACCACATATTCTTTTACCACAAAAGAAGGGAGAAATTGGAATGACTGCCTGGTGATTCTGCTCACAGACTAGCTTTTACATGTGTCCCAGGAACTGGTGTTATACCTGTCTCCAGGAATAAAGCCACTGCTGAGGGTTTTTGTGATCCTATCTTTTTTGGGGAGCGGAAGGCTGTGGCTACTTAATACCACCAAAGTGAGGGAGGGATCCAAAGCCAAAACAAACAAAAACTAGTCAATTGCGTGTACCAGTAGAAAGACAAATTGTTCATCTGCAGTCAAATACAACTGTTAGGGGATTGCCTAATTCTATCTTTGAACTTTAAAAAATGTTTTCTTTTCCATTTTAAGGCACCACACAGGCCCAGCTTCATTTTTCCTTCCTCACATCACAGGGTGAAAGACCCACAGTTCTTGTTAATAACTCCATGTATTTACTGTACCACGAAGCCACATAATACTTCATGGAGCATTTTTCTTCTGGTATAGAAAGCATGAGTATAGCCTTTTTGAAATCGAATAGGTATGGATTTGAAACCAATTCTGCTATTTCCTGTTTTGTGATTTTGGGTAAGTTTCTTAACTCTCTGAACCTCTTTCCTCCTCTGTAGAATGGAAATACTAACACCCACCTTGTAGAGATCTTGGGAGTATCAAATAACAAATAAAGCCCTTGTGATATAGTGCCTGCTTCTTAGTGGGCATTCAGACATCAGTTCCCTTTCCTCTTCCTTCTGTGCCTCTGCCCTTAACCCCACTCCCACCCCTCTCTTCAGTCTTCTTCAACAGAAACTCTAAGCGGAGACCAGGTGCTATAATGAGACAGTCCAAATGGAACCAAGTGTTAATGAATGAGGATCATCATTCATCTCACTCCTGGGTTCTGGCTGTTTTTCTTCTTTTGAATTTGAGGTAGGTGTAAATGTTTACCCTGTAATTTGGCCACTACCTGGGCTTCCTATTGACAATTTCTGTCTGAGCTTTTGAAAATGCCATAGAGAGAACAGAGAGCGTGGGCTCTAGGGAGAGAGCAGCCAGAGAAAGAACACACAGTAATCTTGAGTTGGGGAAGAAGGAAAAAAAAATTTTGTTTGGAGTGGTAGATGAAGACATTGTCAGGACTCAGGGAAATATGGTAAGTCTCTCTGTCAACAAACATTTATTGAGCACCTATTGTAAATGGGCTCAGCTTTATCATCAGATACCCAAGAAATGGAAGCCCTGATTCCTGCCTTTCAGTGTTTGTAGTATAAATGAATGTACAAAAGACAAAAAAAGATCAAAAGTAGCCCAGTTATAGGTGCCAATCATGTAGTTCCTAAAAGGTTTCAGACTGAAGGAGCAATTGAATGTGTTTTGAGCCAGTTTGAAAGAGATGAGGGTCACGGATCAAAGGAGAGGAATTCAGGGTCTAAAACAGGTGCAGAGGTGCTGAGGGGTTGTTCAGTGGGTGAAAAAAGCCCCCTCTCCCTCAAGTCTTTGTGAATCTTCCTTCACCTGGAGCCCCCTTTCACCAGCCCAGCAGGAACCCAAGCAGGGGACTGGGCCACAAATGGTCTAACCTCACTGGATCGGAGAACTCCGAAGAAGGGGTAGAGGAAGGCAGGGACCAGGGCTGCAGCTCCAAGAGGCACCGCTTCAGACACCCAGTACACAGCAGTCACGATCAACACGTAAGCACACGCAGCCTCCTGGAAGTGGAGTGAAGGGGGTAGTTAGTCACAGGGAGTCCCTGCCACTGAAATCCAGATAAGACCCAGGGTGAAGGCAGCAGGCACTGGGACTCGAGCATGGTCACTGGGTGCAGCCCTGGGAGGTGCAAGGCTGGACTTGGCAGGTGGGTGGCTGGCTGCATGGTGGGGCCCATCCTTGGTGGGTAACGTTATGGCTTCTCCTTTTGGGGACCAATGCTTGACATACGGTTTGCGCTGATGTGCAGCAAGGTTGCCACTGGACTGCTGTAATATCACAGCTCTGCTGTTTCCTGAAACTGCGGAGGGTGGGGATTGAAATTAACTGCAGCATCCAGACCCAAGATCATAAACTATAAAGGTGGGATTCAAAGTTAAACTAGGACATAACATATTGGTTTCAAGTCGATTGGATACTAGAGGTTCTTGGGGTAATTGAAGGTAGCAATCAATACGTGCTGTTGGTTCACATGTGAGTTCTGAGATCAGCCATCCTGAGTTCTACAGATGTGCATAGGACAGGAGGATACATGGGCATTTGGTATGTGCCCAACTGAAGAGAAGCGGATCAGTAGGAAGTGAGATTTACAAATAATCCAAAAGGTGGCTTCCATACCATGCTGTCATAGCCCTGAGAGTCTGGGGTGTGTCCCAGGAAAATCCCAGGGAGACCAGCAAGAGCTTGAACACAGACCACCTCTCCAGCCTCACCCCAACCACAGTAGCCCTACTTTCATTTGATTTATATACTGACATTACATATAAGATTTTATTTGGAAAAAAAAATGCTTCCATGTTTTAAAAATGAATAAATGGAGTTAAATCTCCCTGCTTTAGACTATTTGCTGAAACAGCTTGATACAGTAGTAAATTTTAAGTGAACTGTAAGCAAGAACTGGTTGACTAACTTTTCCCCTTCACTTTTCAATGTGAGGCTCCATTATGCTGTAGTAGTATCTAGGGGTGGAATCCTTCCCCCGCTCTTTGGAGAGTTAGTGAGGAGCTGAAGGGAGCCTAGTGGACGGAGGGAGGGTTGGAGAGTTGGGCAGCTACCTCGGCATGGGACTGTTGTTTTGGGTGAGGAAGAATGAATTCCTAGCTCAGCATTTCTCAACCTTGGCACCATTGACATTTGGGGCCCTTTAATTCCTTGTTGGGGGGCTGTCCTGTGCATTGTAAAATGTTTAGCAGAATCCCTGGCCTCTACCCACTAGATGCCAGTAGAGCTTCCCAGTTGTGACTACCCAAAATGTCTCTAGACATTGCCAAATGCCCTTGGGGGATGAGATCGTCCCTGGTTGAGAGCCACTGCCTTCACCAGGGTTTGGTTCTTTTTTCTCTTGAACTCCATTCCACCTGCCTGATGCCATAGAAACATCTTTCTACAAAGAGAATAAGGGGTGCCATCTATCTGGAAGGGGAGGCCTGGACATTTGCCAGTGTTTCCCCAGCCCACTCACTTTGCTGGTTGCACATCCTTGAGGTGCACAGAGTAAATACGTACCACACTCTTATAAAAAACCAGTCCCCCCTTAACCTTGGCCTCTAGTAATGCTGATTGCCCTGAATGCACTGATTAATGGGGGTGAGAAAGGTTGCTGGCTTACTCATGGGAGAGGTTACGGTCCAAGGACCTTAACAATGGTAACATCATTGAGCCCCATGACTCAAAGGGCTATTTATAGAAAACCCAAATTGGCTGTGGGTTCCTTAATTTTTACATAGTTCTAAACCATCTGAGTTCTGAGCTGCCCTGACTCGCTGCTGATCAGGAAGTCTGACACTCTTTATTGCTCCTTGAGTTCAGAACAAGCGTCCTTAAACTCTTGCATAAAAGTTACAAAAGGCGGCTGTGAGCAGTGAGAGGCCGCAGGAGTACTGCCCCTGCTTAGCTGCATGGGACCTTGCTCCCTCCTGATATTCATGGATTATGGGGTTAGGGTTTGAGAAATGGGAACTGGGCCCAGTGATTGTTGACTGTAGCTCCCACTGAGATTTCCTCTGGGGCGAAAAGATCAGAGAGAAGATAAAACTTTTGAAAGTGCTGATAAGACAACAGAATCACTCGTGGGGGAAAATGGCTCCATTTGGAAAAGAATGGAATTTAGAGAAATGCCTCCTTTGTTGTAGAAATAAAATTACCTAAAGGAGTTCAAAACCCACATGAGCCCACTTATTCTCATCTCTTTTCTGGGAGAGAGACAGAATGGCGGGTCTTAACTCCAGTTGAAGATAAAGGGACAGGATGTCTGTCCCTCACTGGGAAGACCTTATCTCCCCCTGAGAACCCTTAGTCTTTCTTGTCATGGTCATTACAGGGCCACAAGGTAAGCGGGGGGGGGGGGGGGGGGGGGGGGGGGGGGGGGAGGGGGGGGGGGGGGGGAGGGGGGGGGGGGGGGGGGG